ACCTGTATTCAGAAAACTATAAGGAATTGAAGAAAGAAATCAAAGAAGATACAAATAAATGGAAGCCTATACCATGTTCATGAATAGGAAGAATTAAAATCATTAAAATGTCCCTATGTCAAAACAATAAATAGATTCAGTGGAACCCCTGTCAAAACACTGATGGCATATTTTGCAGAACTAGAACAATTAATCCAAAAATTTATATGGAACAACATACACACACACACAAAACTCAAATAGCCTCAGCAATATTGAGAAAGAAGAATAAAGTTGGGGGTATCATGCCACCAGATACCAAAGTATACTACAAGGCCATTATACTCAAAATGGCATAATACTGGCATTAAAACAGACATATAGATCAATAAAAGGAAGTAGAGAGCCCAGAAATAAACCCATATCTATCTGGTCAATTAATATTTGACAAAGGAGGCAAGAACAAACAATAGGGTAAAGACAGCCTATTCAATAAATGGTTCTAGAAACATTGGATAGATATGTGCAAAAAAATAAAACTAGATTACCTCTTTATACTTTATACAAGAATAAACTCAAAATGGATTAAAGACTTAAATGTAAAACTTGAAATTATAAAAATCCTAGAAGATGACATAGGCAGTAAAATTTCAAACATCTCATATAATGATATTTTTTTCTGATACGTCTCCTCAGGCAAGGGAAACAAAAGAAATAGAAACATGTAGGATTACACCAAATTAAAATTTTTGCACAAAAATGGAAACCATCAAAAAACCCAAAAGCAACATAATAAATGGGAAAACATATTGGCATTAGTATATCTGATAAAGGGTTAATATCTAAAATTTATTTTAAAAACTTATACTACTCAACACCAAGAAAATAAATAAAAGTAAATTTAAAATGTGCAGGTTTGAATAGATATTTCTCTAAAGAGGACATCCAGATGGTCAATAGACATGTGAAAAAATGCTCAATGTCACTAATCATCAGAGAAATGTAAATTAAAACCACAATGAGATATCACTTCATATCCATTTGAATGACTATCTTAAATAAATCAACAAACAAGTGTAAGCAAGGATGTGGAAAAAAGGGACTCTTCATGCAATGTTAGTAGGAATGCACATTGGTGCAGCCACTATGGAAAACAATATGGAGTTTCCTTAAAAAAAAAAAAAAATCGGACCTGCCTTATGAAACCATGGTTTCACTTTAAAGGATTTATCCACAAAAACCCAAAACACTAATTTGAAAGAATATATGCACCCCTATATTCATTGTAGTGTTACTTACAATACCCAAGGTATAGAAGCAACCCATTAGATGAGTGGATTTAAAAAGCCATGGTACATTTATACAGAATGGGGCAAAAGTAGGTTTACAGTTGTTTGTATGGCAAATAATACAATAATTTTAATAAAAATAATACAAGAATCAACTCCGTTTCGTGTACTCACTTTCCCCCCACCTGCACAATGGAAAATTACTCAGCCATAAAATGCATAGAATCATACCGTTTGCAACAGTATGGATGGACCTAAGAGTACTATGCTCAGTGAAATAAGTCAGTCAGAGAAAGACAAATACAATATGATTTCACTTACATGTGGAATCTAAAGAACAAAAGATGTGAACAAAATTGAAACAGACTCATAGATACAGAGAGGAAACTGGTGGCTGCCAGAGGGGAGGGAGGGTTGGGGCACTAAATGAAAGAGGTGAAGAGACTACGAAGCACAAATTGGTAGTTACAAAACAGTCATGGAGAAGTAAGTAAAGCATGGGAAATATAGTCAATAATATTGTGATAATTATGTATGGTGCCAGTTGGGATACTGCAAATATCAAGGGAACACTATGTAAAGCATGATTGTCTGACTACTAAGCCCTACATCTGAAATCAATGAATAATAAAAATAACAGCAACAACAATAATTTCCTGATAACTGCCAGAACCCATTTCTGAGGTGTGAGTGAGAAAGATACAAAGGATAAAGAAGAGGAAAATATTGACAATGGAAAATCTTAGAGAGCTTTATTTTTAACATTAGCCAGAAGCAACAGTAAAACATGACAGGCTTTTCATATATGAAAAGATTCTCAATAGAGAAAATCCCAAGGATTCACAAAAACAGAACAAAAAAAGAAAAAACTCCTGGAATTGATAACAGTTATAGCAAAGTTGTAGAATACATGGTTAATATGCAAAAGTTGATTTCTTTTGGCTCTGCCTTTGAAATTTCCTGTGAATATGTAATTATTTCAAAATAAAACATTCTTAAATGGAAAAAAAAAGAGTGCGATGTCCACTTTCACCACTCTTATTCAACATAGTACTGAAAGTCCTAGTCACAATAATCAGACAAGAAGAAAAATAAAAGATATCCAAATTGGAAAGGAAGAAGTAAACAGACTTTATTTGAGGTGACATGATACTTGTATATAGAGAACCCTAAACATCCCACAAAACACTACTAGAACTGATAAATGAATTCAGTAAAGTAACAGGATACAAAGTAAATACTCAGAAATCAGATGCATTTTTATATACCAATGATGAACTATCAAGAAACAGAAACTAACAATCCCATTTTCAATTGCATAAAAATATTAAATACTTAAGATTAAATTTAACTAATGAGGTGAAAGATTTGTACTTGAAAAATTATGACACTGAAGAAAGAAATAGAAAAAAGCACTAAAGAATGGAGGCATATATCATGCTCATGAACAAGAGGAATTAAAATCATTAAAATGTCTATAACTATTCAAAGTCATATATAGATTCAATGTAATTCCTATCAAAATACCAATGCCATTTTTTACACAACTAGAACAAATAATGCAAAAATTTGCATGGAAACATAAAATACCTTAAGTAGCTACAGCAACCTTGAAAAAGAGGAACAAAGTAGGTGGTATCACATCTCCTGATATCAAACTATACTACAAGGATGTAGTAATAAAAACAGCATGGTGCAGTTTTCCAATGGACAAATAGATAAAATTCTATTGGCTCAGAATGGGGTTGGAGTGAGGTTAGGAGTAGCAGTTGATCCCCCAAACACCCCCTTTTGCCTATCATCACAACCCATTGCTTTGAACAGTTCTCAGCATCCTATCCCAAGTGTGGGTAATGAAGAGGAAAGATGTGGAAAACCCTCTATTACCTGAGATTTCCTCCCACAAAATGTAGTGGTTTGTGAGTTGGGTCCATCAGTCTGGTCTCATGATTATTTTTTTACTCTGACACAGGAAATATTATTACATATACTTCTTTAAAAGGAAAACTACTTCCCTATCCAGGTCACTTCCAAAAGCTGGAGAATCTGATGGCAGAGACTCAGACAAAGCATACGGAGAGGGATTTCCTCTAAAGCCCTTACATGCATTTGAATAGAGCACGGTAGGAGTTCCTTTGCCTCACCCCTCCCTGCTCCCCCACCAAGAGGGAAGAGGGGGTAATGCTGTGGACCCCAGCCTGTGATGCAAGGCAGTGCCAGCTGCCCCCTACCCACCTTATCCCCACTTTCTCCAGTCTACCAATTAATGCCTACATCTTGAAAATTCCTGATGGCAAAGGGATACCACCCCCCACCAAAAACACTGTGGCTCAATTCTGGGCCTCTGGGAGCGGGTCAGAATTATGGATCCCTTCTCTTTCTTTCTGAGAATAGGCTGGCTTTTCCTGTGAGCTGGGGACCTGTTGGGCCTTCAGTAAACATGAGACCACCATATGGCTAAAGAAGTAAGGCATCTTGGGCTGGAGTAACACCATGTATTCCTTGGCATGATGGTCTAGACCTCCACAGTTGTCATTGTCACACTTGTCCCCTCTGATCTGCCCTTCTGCATGTTCTTTCCTTTTGGCTGCCTCTCTCTCCCAATACAGGACACCCCACCAGGGCTGGTGACTTGGATAGATTCCAGGTTGATAGCGGGCTTCTTAAAGGTGACTGCCTCATCCTCCCTTAGGCTCCAGAAGCCATCCATGTGCAGCTTACTCTGCAAACTACTGGTTTGACACAGAGCCCATGATAATCAGCTAAGCCCACAGCCCTGGGAGTCAGGTCAGACAGCTGCTGGCCCCAGAGAAGTTCAAAGGCAAAAGGGTTGCTTGGAGAAGAGGTTGCTATATCTTCCACCACACAACCAGTTTCTCTCTCTTGAGAATTTAAACTGAGAGATACAAAAGTCTAGTCTTTGAGATGTAAGTCATGTAAAAGGCAGGAAACCATAGGCTTAGGCCACAGATTCCTGAGGCTAGGGATTCTGGGCTGCCCTGGTTCTCAACATTCCTCCCCTTCAGCCCTTCTGAATTTTGTAAACTCCTTCAATTGCTTTAAATAGTCCTAGTTTTTTTAATATATTCTCTTTTTTTTTCAGTAAAGGTACATTTACTTTGTTTTTGTATTGCCATCAAAAGAAACTTACCTAATGTGGGCACAGAAATGTTAAAATCTTTCTCCAAGATCACATAGTTAGGAGGTAACTAGAGTTTTTAACCCATGACTGTCAGATTCCAAGTATAATGTCCTAGTCCTTATTCCATATATACTGGTTAGGCTAGAGCTATGATCAAAAGGTTTTATCTCATAGATTTTGAAAGATTAAAAACCCTCCTTAATATCCTGTTCCATCCTTTATCTCTTCTATCTTTTTTCTTAAGCCTTATAAAGGCTTTGTTCAGATATATTATTAAGAACAGATCTGGGTTGATCACAGGAGAACATAAAGATAATAGAGAGAGGAAGCCATCCCTACTGTTCTTCTCCTCTTCAAAATCTTAGACTCACTAACATCAGAAGAGGTGTTAAAATATCCCAAGGTTATTAATATGGGTTCTGCTGGCCCAGGCTCAGGCCCAAGTAGAATTGGCTCCAGGAGAAATGAACGAAGCCTGTCCTGAGGATTTTCTCTCCTCCCAGGAGAGCCCCCTTTTATCACCAGAAAGCCTCTCATTGCTCCATCCAGGAACCCAAAGTAAGACTTGCCCTTGGGTTCTTCAAACTCACCATACACTTTCAGTTGGATATTCCATACCTCTTCATTCCCACTCTCTATCATCACCTTCAGGAGGTAGGTGCTTGCATCTTCTTTCTGGACATTATAGATGTCAAGTATGCCATTTTGACGATCAAGTGTGACTTTGTCCTTACTTGCAGTTTTGAAGTAGTAGGGATTAGGCTCGTTGGACTCCCATTCTAAAATCTTCTGGTTGCGATTGTAAAACAAGGTGAGCCTTAGGTAGTTGTTGTCAGACAGTTTCGAGATTTGAAGATGCACATTGCTGCCAGAGACCGCAGACAGCAGATAGTCTGGATGACCTGCCAATGAGATTCAGAGTGAGACCCATCCCAGAGAAGGCGGAGATGCCCTGTGGCTCAGGCTTTGGCTTGGGATGGTGGGTCAGGAAAGAAGGAGGGGATTTCTTCTTGCAGCCATGAATATGGTCTATATCAGAGGGCCTAAACTTCTGGTCAGGAGTTCAATGAAAGTTGGAGATTGAAAAATGGGCTTGGGGGCAGGGAATGTTGCTTATAATCCATCTAGTGCTGCCTCAGATGACAAAGAAAAAGGACACTGAGGCTGACCCAGTAGATTTTGAGATAAAATAATAACAAATAATCTCTCTAGGCTTGCATTTCCTACAGTTCAATTTAGTTTTCCACCAGTAAATGGGGGTCAGAGGAAAAACAAGGTATGAAGAGAATAGGAGACAAAGCTATTCATTGGCAAAGTATTATAAAATCACAAAGACATTTCATTAACAAAAATGTTATCCTATTTTTCTGGCTTTAGTGATATTGGTAGTATTTGTCAGCTTTTTAAAGCTTGTGGTATATAGGAATTTCTTTCCTCATGTTAACTAAATTAATTTTTGTTCTTATTTGTATAGACAGGTTTATTCTTTCTTTCATGAGAGTACCCCAAATTGTATAAGGCTCAGCTCTAAAAAACCAAGTTTAGTTAAATTGGAGAAAGAAAAGATGATAGCTACAAGATGCAAGATAGAAGGAGGCCTGTTGACTCTTTTTGTGGATGGGGAGAAATAAATATAAATATATGTATAAATATATATATATATATAGTCATGTACCACATAACAATGCTTCATTTAATGATGGACTACATACAACAGTAGTCCCATAAAATAATAATGGAAAAAATTCTCATCAAATAGTGACACCATGGCCATTTTAATGTTGTAGTTGAACCCACTATTAATGTGTTTGTGGTGATGCTGGTGTAAACAAACCTACTGCACTGCTAGTGATATACAAGTATAGCACATACAATTAATTTAAAGTACACAATTATTGATAAAAATAATATATGACTGTTACTGATTTATGTATTTATTATACAATATTTTATCATTACTTGAGCATGTACTCTCTTTACTTATAAAAAACTTTCCTGTAAATCAATATGCTGTGTTATACTTGCAGAAGCTTCATATCCTGTCTCTTGATTGCATCACATTCTCTTGTGTTTGATTCAATCTCATGTTGTTTTACAAATTTAGTGTAGCCCAAGTGTACAGTGTTTATAAAGTATACAATAGCATACAGCAATGTTCTGGGCTTTCACATTTACTTACTACTAACTCACTGACTCACCCTGAGCAACTTATAGTCCTGCAGGCTTCATTTTATGGTAAGTGCCCTATATAGATGAAACATTTTCTATCTTTTATGCTATATTTTTACTCTACCTTTTCTAGAAGCGATAGGCCATACCATCCAGGTTTGTATAAGTGCACTCCATGATGTTCACACAATGATGAAATTGCCTAATAACACATTTCTCAACATGTACCATTGTTGTTACCATGAAACATGCATGATTGTATAGGCTGAGAAAGAGTAGGAGAAAGAAACTAATGGTAGAAGAAAGAAGGAATATAACTCATGTCACACTGTCACACAAAAACTGAATCATGTAGTTGAACATCATATATACTTGGCTGTTCATTTTTCACATGTCTATAATTTCCACAATCATTCTCCTCAATGGCTAAAAGATAATAATGCCTGTGTCCCAGGGCTTTAAGTTCTATTAATCCTCCCAACCATCCATCTATCCCTTCAACATTTATTAAACACGTACACCATGCCTGGGGCATATACATACATACCTAGGCATTTGTTTTACAGTACTTCCGATATGTCCATTTCATTCTTTATAATCTCTATGGCAGAATTAATTCAGTCCAAGCAACAGCATTTGAACAACTGTTATGTTCCTGGCACTCTGCTGGGCTCTGACATCAGCAATGCAGACACAGTTTGTGGCTTCCTGGGGTGTACAGCCTAGCAGGACAGACTCTTCCAGATTTTAAAATCATTAGATATACAAGGTCTGTCCAGAAGGTATCCAGCCATGTAATATGAAAAATAGAGATGTTCATTGAAGAAGATACAAGAAACATTGCCCCCAGTTCCAGCCAAGATGGAGGCATAGGTAAAAACACCTCTCTTCCTCACACAACCAAAAGAAGGATAAAAACCAATTTAATAACAAAATAACAACCAGAATTGCCAGAAAATGAAACTTCATGGAAGTATGACACCCAAGGAGTTAAAGAAGCATTTATCCAGACTGGCAGGACAGCCAGAGATGGGCAGCCAGGGCAAAAAGGATATGGGGCAAGGCGGTGGACCGTGTGGTAAGGCAGGGCCTGGCTGACCAGGCATTCCCACATTTGCACACAGATAAGCCTGGAGGAACAACTGGGGAGAGAGACAGACCACGAAATGCAGGGTTCAGCACCGGAAACTAAAGACTCAAAACCTCTGGCTGTAAAAACCTGTGGGGGTTGGGGGAATGGGAGAAACTCCCAGTCTCACAGGAGAGTCCACTGGAGAGACCCACAGGGTCCTAGAACATACTCAAACCCACCCACCTGGGAATTAGCACCTGAAAAGACACAATCTGCTTGTGGGTACTGGGGGAAGTGACAGAAAATGGGGTGAGAGCCAAGCAAGTGGCATTGTTCCCTCTCCGACCCCTCCCCCATAGACAGCACCACAATGCAGTGAAGAAGGTTGCCCCACCCTGGTAAATACCCAAGGTTCTGCCCCTTACCATGTAACAGGTACACCAAGCCAAAGAAATATGGCCCAAATGAAAGAACAGATCAAAACTCCAGTTCACTCACAAAATGAAAGAAGAAATGAAGTCTATACAAAGTGAAATAAAAGAAAATATACAGGGAAACAACAATGAAGGGAAGAAAACCAGGACTCAAATCAATAATTTGGAACAAAAGGAAAAAATAAACATTGAACAGAACAGAATAAAGAAACAAGAATTCAAAAAAATGAGGAGAGGCTAAGAAACTTTAGGACAACTTTAAACTTTCCAACATCTGACTCATAGGGGTGCCAGAAGGAGAAGAGGAAGGGCAAGCAGTTCAAAACTTATTTGAACAAATAATGAAGGTAAACTTCCCCCAATATGGCAAAGGAAACAGACTTCCAGGAGATCCAGGAAGCTCAGAAAGTCCCAAAGAAGTTGAACCCAAGGAGCACACACCAAGGCACATCACAATTACATTACCCAAGATTAAAGATAAGGAGACAATCTTAAAAGCAGCAAGAGAAAAGCAGAGAGTTACCTACAAAGGAGTTCCCACAAGACTGCCAGATGATTTCTCAAAAGAAACCTTACAGGCAAGATGGAGCTGGAAAAAAGTATTTAAAGTTATGAAAGGCAAAGACCTACAATATAGATTACTCTATCCAGCAAAGCTATCATTTACAGTGGAAGGGCAGATACAGTGCTTCCCAGATAAGCTCAAGTTAAAGGAGTTCATCATCACCAAGCCCTTATTCTATGAAATGTTGAAGGGGCTTATCTAAGAAAAAGAAGAAGGTCAAAAACTATGAACAGTAAAATGACAATAAACTCACAGCTATCAACAACTGAATCTAGAAAACAGAACCAAAAACTAAGCCAACAACTGTAACAGGAACAGAATCACAAAAATGGAGATCACATGGAGGGTTATCAATGGGGAAAGGGATAGGGGAATGGGAGAAAAAGGTACAGAGAATAAGAAGCATAATTTGTAGGCACAAAATAGGGGGAGGTTAATAATCACATAGGAAATGGAGAAGCCAAAGACCTTATATGTACAACCCATCGACATGAACTTGGGGAGGTGGTAATGCAGGAGTGTGGGGGTGCAGGGCAGATGGGGTAAGACAAGAGAACTTCCCTGAAGGTTTCTTGAGGAAGGAGAAATAAAGATGAGTCCAATAAGAAATGAAGAATACAGAGCATATAGACTCAAGTCATAATCCAGGCCCAGTTATAATTTGCACCCTTTCTCCTTGTGAAAACAGAGTATACTTTATAAACACAAAAAGATATTGTTTGGGAATGGTGTCCTCAACATGCTCAAAAGGAGAAAGAAATTTATAACAGATTTATAGTCACTGAGATGGTGAGTTTCTCAAAGGTCAATACCATGTCTTAGTTTTAAATCCCAACAATACTTTGCTCACATTCAGTGTTTAGTATAGAATGAATGAATGAATGAATGAATGAGAGAAAAATGTGTACATAAGTGTTCCTAGTGTTCTCCTCTTCATGACTTCCTACTAGTCAAAAATATTTTTATACTTTTGCTCCCCACTTAGTTTCCCTCTTGTTTGTTTAAGATTAGTTTGGACTGAACTGACAGTGAGGAAAGGAGGAGTTAAACCAACAAGGGCCACTCTGGTTGGTTTAGGAAATAGGGGTGCTACAGCATGAAGGCTCAAGAGAGTAAGATTCTCTGAGCAGCACACAGAGGGTATGGTTTGAGAGGACTGAAGAGAGCAGGAAAGGGGATTCTAAGAAATGTTGCTATAGTTTATAAATTATACTCCCTTTAATATCTTTTGAGAGACTGAAAGTAAAAATTTGAGTTACCGTTTAATTATTTATTACCAATGAACTGTGTTTCTCTAAATATGATAATGTGCCCAAACTGGGCCAGTAAACCCTGTCTTATGGCTGGGTCTTGAATAAATAAATAAAAGGTCACTATTATGGCATAGAAAGCAGAAGAGTAGTAGAGGAGATGCCCAAGAATTAAAAAAAATAATAATAACATAGAAGAGTGTTCATCCCATAGTCAGTTAAGTTTTCAGGTATCTATAAATCATTATAAATGAACTGAGGGAAACATTATAATTGCCTATATTTTTAGATCCATAACACCAAGTACTATGTGTGTATAAACACAGCATGGGCCAATACACATGTTTAAAAATAGTAAAGCAAGAGTAAATTTTGTTATAAAATATCTAACAAATGAATAGCCTGGAAAAGC